ACCTTAGAACTGAAGAAGCCTCTCGGATGAGAGGTGAAACGTCTTCAAGTAACTTAAAGAAGTCCAGACGCTTTTCTTTGCAAGCTCCTTTGACTACAATGACCTGGATGACTGAGAACCTTCACAGACACAAGCTGTACATCCAATGGATGATGATCTGATTAGTTGACTAATCGCAAAAATAATCTGTGACTAGTCGACTATCAAAATAATCGTTTGTGGCAGCCCTACTGGAAACCCTTCAGCAAATAATAGGGGACATTATCCTACAACTCAATTCCTTGGATGAACACAATGGCAAAGCATCATAGACTGTATATAAAAGATGGTATCACTGATTGGTTTGTGAAGCACTGGTTTAAAGGGGTACCAACCATTTACCACAGAAACCCAACTACAGATGAGCAGTATAAGAGTTTACCTTTACACTCTGCATCCACTCGACTCTCTCAGCACGAGTGTTTAATTAAACTACAAGACACGCAAGTCTTGTAGTTATGAGATATGAGATATATCCTTCGATTTGAGGTCAATACCAACTACAAAAAGCATCACAGTCAATACTAATAAAATGTAGTATTTTAAAATCATTTCAAGCAGCAAACGACTGAACTCACCTGTCCTTCTCCAACACTGTGTGTGTCAATAATGGTGACCACACCGGGGTTGTGTGGGCTGCGACGGCTTGCACTGTGAGATGTGCCCTCCTCGTCTGGAGTGCTTGCCGGTATGGTGCCTGCTAGCTGGGTCACAACTTTACCGACCATCGTCAGACCTGTTTTTAAAGTCTGAGGAAGAAAGAAAAAAAATATAACACACACCTGATGTTATATATTCCCAATATATTCTACATCTATGTGATATCTTTGGTTTGGTTTGCAGTGGGCGTACGTGCTTCTGTGCATGTATACAGCATGTTCACTTGATGCCGGCTGATAGCTCGCAGTGCTGATGACTTGACTGTAGCCATAGAAGACACGTGCGTGCGCGGGAGGCTCCTCTGTGTCCGCTTAAGGCCCAGCCAGGGTGTCTGCCTCAAACACACCTCTGTGGCTCGATTGAGGGAAATGGATAGTGCTGCTTAAGTGGAGTCTATCTCACCTACTACACTGTCTTACTCTAATGGAGTCCAGTGTGTGTGACTGTGTGTTTGTGTGTGTGTAAGCACCAAAGGGGCCCCGGAGAGCCTAATCAGGCATTCAGACTAGGCGGCCCTGTCAATACAGTGTGGCGCCTTGCATATGTTGGGTCTGGGGATCACCCGCTGTCTCTCTTTGCCACTTGACCAGACACACTAACAGTGGATGCTACGTGCATGCACTGGGGTGTGTGTGAGTGTGTAAAATGCAAGAAAAGCCATCAATTATTAAGTGAGGCGTTTGGCTCCTAATTGATCAACACTAATGTGTTTTCTAATCACTGCAGTTGTGGAGTTCTTAGTAGTCCAAACAGGAGTTATTGATTTCCCAGCGCACAGGGGGGGGTTTGGAGGAAGATCGTGCCTCAGGGCTCACAACACTTACGCACGCAGAGCTGATGTTACTATCTAAACACGATACAGCCTTTATGTGAACGGTCTTTCTTAATTATGCACCCAGGAATGACAGGCAACGGGACTTTTGTGCTACATAAATTCTCTGTAAGACAGAAAATTCAGAACAGCCCAGTCGGTCAGCGCCACTGCCTTCTCTCTCTTTTCTGTCTTTTTTATAAACAAAAGCCATTATACTTTAATGCTGCCCCCGCCCTCCTCCTTTTCTGTTCCCATGTCTCTGGATGTCAGCACTAAGAGCCAGCGTGTCGCGCCACAAGCCAAAGGGAGATACCTTGTCATCCATATTGAGATATATGGTCCTAAACGAGGAGAGGGCGGGCAAGCAGACTGCCTGTCTGCATATCAATACCCCCTGCAATTGTCAACCCATCACCACGCTGCTAATCTGTTAGAAAGACAGTTGTCTCTTTGATGTATAGCCTTGTTACCCCACTAATGAGTCATCTTCGCACTAGCTGTGAGATCCACTTGCTCTTTGGAATCAATTAGCCCTTCTTCTGTGACCAAGTGGAGAAACAGACTAGAACCATATGAGGAGCTAGTTAGTCTGCACGTGTTAGCAAGTTGCTTTATTGGCCCAGGATTTTATTTCACCTGGTATCAAAGAGAGAGCTGCTGGCTGTCAGTGAGCCATCTTAGAGCCACTTCCCCATGATGCTGACTGGAACAAGACCAATGAAGAGAAACAGATTATAGTGGGAACCGGGAGATCAGCAGGTTGATGAAGTGTCTCATAAGCTTAGCCACAGTCGGCCAGGCGGCACAGGTGGATCCAATGTCAGCACATTTACAGATGGTGCCGGCAGAGCTGGAAATACCATCTTCTGTGCTGTTTTATCTGAGTGTCAAGCTTACCGTAGGACGTTCAGACCAATTACAGCCATATTGTGAGAACGTGAGTATAGTTTTGAATGTAGTTTTACATGTTCATAAGAACTCACATCTATCTAATAATTAATCCAGAGCAACGTCTCAGTTGATTCGCTATCTAGAACCATTCATTGTAGCTCATGAATGCTAATCTGAGCGTGTATGGACTTTGAGAGGAGATAATGTAATGTTTTTTATCTGAAATACACTTTAAAAAAATAATAGACAGACATGTTCTCCTGTGCATTTCTTTTATGTTCACGCCTATATATAAATAAAGCTGTGACCAGTGTTGGGAAGGTTACTTTTAAAATGTATTCCATTACAGAATACAGAATACATGCCCCAAAATGTATTCGGTAATGTATTCTGTTACGTTACTCAATGAGAGTAACGTATTCTGAATACTTTGGATTACTTAATATATTATCATGCTGTTTACAACTACATG